TAATTTATAGATTCAATGCCATCCCCACTAAGCTACCAATGACTTTCTTCACAGAATTGGAAAAAACTGCTTTAAAGTTCATATGGAACCAAAAAGGACCCAACATTGAAAAGACAATCTTAAGCCAAAAGGACAAAGCTGGAGGCATCACACTATCTGACTTCAAACTATACTATAAGGCTACAGTAACCAAAACAGTATGGTACTGCTACCAAAACAGAGATATAGACCAATAGAACAGAATAGCGCCCTCAGAAATAATACCACATATCTACAGCCATCTGATATTTGACAAACCTGAGAAAAACAACTAATGAGACAGATCTCTAATTGAACTAATGGTGGCCTGGGAAAATTGACTAGTCATAAGTTGAAAGCTGAAACACATTCACACTTCTTATATGAAAATAATTCAGATAAGAACTTAAATGATAGACCTAAAACCATAAAACCCATAGAGGAAAACCTAGGTACTATCACTCAGAGACATACAACATGGGCAAGCAGAAGAGAACTAGGAGATACAATTGCTACATAAATAACAAACCACACAGATCGCAGCGACGAGGATCGAGCAAAAAGCCAAAGTGATGCATAAGAGTGGAATATCTAATAAATAATAACATGAATAGATCCAATTCTGAAACAACCAGAGACCAACAATAGAGGATAATTTACCTTTATACCATAAGTGAAGTGCAGAATCATATCGTGTAGCAGAATGCGTGGTTACAAATATAAACAATTTGAGCAAACATCCAACTACAATTCATAGAGTCAACAGAAGGACGCTATATATCTCCTATGAAAACAACTAATCATAAGCTCCGACTATTTAAATAAACAAATTTTCATCAAGGAATATACTAAAGATACCTCATACACAAAAGAAAAACTAGATACAACGTCAGTCAAAAAGGCAGAGGAGACAAAGAGGATAAGCAAACATTATGAAAAGAAACATTTCAACTCAATATATGAAGAAGTCACATTACATCTACAGGCCAGATCAGGGCTACATCCATAGTTTTATTCCTTCCTCCATTGTCCCGCAGTTGGATGAATTGATATGAGAAACATTTTAGTCATAATAACATTTGTATGCCGACAATTCCATCTGGTTTCTATAGACAGATTTATATGAGGCCAACATACAAATAACCACTAATCAGAGCCCCATCAG